CTAACACTTTTATACCCTTAAACCTAGCCTGATATATTGCACTTGCTATTGTATATCAAAAGATTCCAGATTGATACTCTTTGAAGTAGACAATTTCCAAAGAGGGGAGATGGGATGTTAATGTTATCTCATCTTCAGCCAGACACATCCTGGCTGGTACTCATAAATCTCCTAGGTGCAAATGTCCTGCTTTGCAGCTCCTAAGCCTGGCCTTTTGATCTGCAAATTGTTGTAGATGCAGAGGTGACCTTTCAGGTGCCTAAGTGAGGTCCTTGCCTTGGATCCATGGTGGTTGGGCTTTTCCAGTTTAGGGCCATGACAGGAGACCCACAAAGGGGTTTTTATATTAAAGCAATTCTTATAACAGATGTTTGAATCTGACATTTGAGAACATATATCAAACTCCTAGTTATTATGTTCTCTCTGCATTCCAGTATGATTAGTACATATAACTAACTGCATGAAGTTGTCAAGAATGAATTGAGTTCTCCTATTTGGTTACTTACTACCTCATCACACTTCCTTAAACAGACTGCTAGGTTTTTTTTAAAGAGGAAAACACTGTGTGTCATACAAAGGAGATTAGATGACTTTAAATTATATGAGATCTGAGATGATGAAGGTTTGTTATTCTATTTCTTCCTATGTTCAAAGCTGAAAGCTACAATACACATGCATAAATACCGGTATTACAAATATATTTACTAATACGTAAGTCCCACTGTGTTTGTGTAATAATTTCTGTTTAAAGAAGATTGGGAAGGCCCACCTGAAACTAAAAGAACAATGTAACATCAAGCAGTACAGACCCAGGGACCATCTGCATTTGAGGTTATGTGAGCACTTGGCAAAAGAGATGTAAGAACACATTCTTTGCTTCCATTTTGTGATGTGTACATGTGTGTCTTCACATCGCCTGTGAATTTCATAGGGTTTTCTTAGGCAAGGAATATTCAGAGGTGTTTTTGGTAGTTCCTTCATCTGAAATATTTGTTGGTATATGTTGGCGGACTCCCATTCAAGTACTAATCAGAGTTGACCCTGCTTAGCTATCATGATTAGGCCATCAAATCTGAAATCAGTACCTATCGATTAGGGGTGGTGAGGTGACTTCTGGAAGGGAGCACAACACCCATTCCAGATGTGCCACCCTAGTACTTTAAGGGGAAGAGCACACCCATCATTTTGATAGGCCCCAGTCATTCTTGACAAGCATCAAAAAGTCATCAATCACTTTTTGACAGGAGCTATACCCCCCTACTACTACCAGCTTCATCCCTGACTAGCTGACCAGTCATGTTTCCAGGTCCACAGGAAGTGGGATTCCCCACTTTTCTGCCATTTTGAAATTTTCTTGGCAAAAGCATTAAACTTCGAATGATGTCTTAACCAGATGTAATCACTCAGATTCACTTATTTTCCATCTTTTAAAATTTACTATGTAAAATATATTGTTGATTATACTACAACAACCAATGGTACATTAAATCTAAGACAGGGTAACCCAATCTCTAGATCGAAATCATTTCGTTCCTTTCTTTAAAAGAAATGTTCAACATCTAGTTTATAGAGGAAAGGTGGGAATTTAGAAAAACATTGGTTCTTTGTAAAAAAAAAAAAAAACTGAGTCTTGAGCTGTTGTGCTGTAATACTTGCCCAAGGCCACCCATTCGGTTTTCATGACAGAGCTGGGATTAAAACCCTGGTCTCCAGATTCATAGTCCAACACTCAAACCACTACACCATGCTGTCTCCCTGCTAATGTAAAATACAGTTGAACTGGATTTTTAGTTGAACAATTAAACTAAATGCATTAATGTTTTTCTAATTAACTTCCCAGGTTCTGACAGTAGGTGTATCTACATTGTAAAAATAATGCAGTTTGAAACCACTTTAACTGCCTTGGTTCCATCCTATAGAATCTGGATTTGAAGTTTTGTGAGGCACCAAACCTCTTTGGTAGAGAAGGCTAAAGACCTTATAAAAACATAAATCTCAGGATTCCACAGGATGGAACTACAGCATTTAAAGTGGTGTAAAACTGCATTATTTCTACAGCGTAGATGCACCCCCAATCACCCTCCTCACATACAAATTGTAATCCTTCTGTGCTTTGATTTCTTAAACTGAATTAAGCCACTTTATGATCCTAACCCATTATCCCACTCATTATTTGTAATTCAAACCCTAATACCTTCCCATACATTTGAGGGCTGAGTTACATTGATGTGACGGGCTCCTTGTTATTTTTCAAAAAAAGGCCATATTGTCTCCCATCAAGGTTAGGGTCCACAGTGCTGGAAAAGGTTTGTTTTAAACCCCTTCCCATGAAACTGTCATTAATGATTACCTGTTACAACAAAGTACAATATATGTGTTTTTCCAGATGCACCTACTACCTAGCCAACATGCCTATCCAAAAGGAAGTTAGATGGGCTAATAAATTTCAATTAAATGGTAGTAATTTAGGTATTTAGTACTGTCCATTAGCTGTGCATAATTCACATTTTTAAAAAAATCTGCCAAATAACTGTGTGTATGTATGTGTTTTACAAGTATTCTCTCTGTAATAACAAAAAAGGAATTGTCTGAAGACCACACGCTTAAACTTGGAAATTCTTCAAAAACCTTAAAACAACCAGAGCAAACCAAGGCTGACAGAATAATGTCAGTATCAGCATAAATGACAATTCAGTGGCTGAACTAAGACTTGTACCAAAGTCTGTCCTGCTCATACTCTTAAGTAATGTAATTTGCTGTTATTGTGTGCCTTCAGGTTGTTTTCAACTTATGGTGTTCTTAATGTGAACCTATCATAAGGTTTTCTTCGCAAGATTTGTTCAATGGAGGTTTGCTGTTGCCTTCCTCTGAGGCTGAGAGCATGTGACTTGCCCAAGGTCTCCCAGTGGGTTTTGTGGCCAAGCTGGAAATCGAACTCTGGTCTCCAGAATCATTGTCAAACACTCAAACCACTACACCACACTGGTTCTAAAGTAAGTTTATATCATCAGTTTATATCATATTTGCAAAATGTTAACAATTCTTAAGTTTACTTGGATCCATCCAGCCCATGTTCAAAGCATAGCACTTGCCATAATGGTTTGGGTTTTTGGCAGTTGTAATCCAGCTTTAACTTTCCCAAGCTGTGGTGCACAGCATGGCTTACACTAGATACACAAGTGCTGTAATTCTAGGTCAGGGGTAGGCAACCTTTCCCCTTTAAGGGCCGAGGGACTTCAGCTCCCAGAATCCCAGGAGCTATTGGCCAACATGAGACTATTGGCCAACATGGCTGAGGCTTCTGGGAGCTGAAGTCCCTCGGCCCTTAAAGGGGAAAGGTTGCCTACCCTTGTTCTAGGTGGATACTGAAGATTATCACAGAGGGGCTATTATCAGTTTTGTAGCATTATTCTATCATTATTTAGCAAGAATGATATAATTGCGATATTGGAACACTTAACTTTCACACGCAAGTCACAATAACAATTCATTAACGATTCACAAGCAGCAAACAGCACATTTGATTTCCACATACTGGCAGTCTTTTGCATTTGTTTATTGTTCTTGAGAGATCTTAGAGATCTTAGCAGCAGAAACAACAACAACTCATCTAAAGGAATGTATTACCAACCTTTCATCTGATGGAGTTCAGGACCCTCAGAAGACATGGAATTGTGAGGGAGGGGTGGAAACCAGTTAATCACTTGCCGCTTACTTAACCCACCTGTATGACACAGAAAGCGTTTCTGCCGAACTACACTCTAGGGCAGTGGTTCTTAACCTGGGTTCAATCGAACACCAGGGGTTCAGTGAGTCAGTCTCGTGGGTTTGGCGGAAGTCAAGACACACATCCGATTCATATGATTCGTGATGACATGCCCCGCTCGTCCATCATTGGCTGCAGATTATAACCTGTATACGTTTTATATGCCCCACTATTTATATGCCCCATCCAACCAAACCAGCTTGCCCTGCCTCCACCGACGGAAGTGGCCCTCTGATTGGCCGTGGCGTGATTGACAGCGCGGTGGCCCACTCCCCTCACCGGATGGCGC